GGCGCGAGTGACTGTTGTGAGGGCCTCCCAATTCAGGTAGGGTCGCAACTGGCGCACGAGGCGAACCTGGGCGAATGCCCCCCTGGTCACAGCCGACAGGTGGTGATCAAAGGTCAGCTGTATTCAGTGTATAAGACGCACCCAGATTTTCAGCCTCTTTTTTGTGGGAAAAAGATGTGTCTTATACTCCGAAAAATATGGTACCTGAAATGGAAGAAACACAGAACAGCAGTTAAGTAAAGCTGGAGGGGACGTGGTAGTTCCAATATTTGAGGAGCTGCCACAAAAAAAGAGGGAGTCAATCTTTTTTCCAAAGCACCTGAAGGCAAGACCAGAAGCAAGGGATGGAAACTAACCAAGAAAAGAAGCAATCTAGAATTGAGGAAAAATTTCCTGACAGAACAAATGTTTAATGGAACTACTTGCCTCCAGAAGTTGTGGGTGGTCCAACATTGGCGGTTTTTAAGAAGAGATTGGACAACCATTTGTCTGAAATGGTATAGAGTAGTGGTCTCCAACCTTGGCAACTGTAAGACTTGTGGACTTCAACTCCCAGAGTTCCTCAGCCAGCTTTGCTTTGCTGGCTGAGGAACTCTGGGAGTTGAAGTCCACAGGTCTTACAGTTGCCAAGGTTGGAGACCATAGAGTCTCCTGTTTGAGCAGAGGCTGGACTAGAAGACTTCCCAAGTCCCTTTCAATTCTGTTATTCTGTTATTCTGAAAAAAAGGAAACGCAGATGCCACCCATGGAATTAATTAGCCTGCATTTGTAAAATTTAAAGTAGGGTTACAGTGTAAAATCTTGGGATGGGCAATTTGATGGTATTGAGCTGCCTGTAGACCCTGAGTCCTCTTTATCAGAATCTCTGGATCTCCCTCCAAACCACAAATGCAAAGATCAGGACATAATTTCTGTCTATTTCGAGATAGGAAATGTAATAAATGAAACTGCATTTAATTTAGAGCCAAATCATTTTTTTAAAGGCTGTCCTATCTTCACTTTTCTTAGCTCTTTTTTTTTTTCTTGTGTCCTTCTTTGAGGCTTTAATACTCCTGCCACAGTAGAGGAGTTTATTGTGAAAATGTCAGTTTACCAAGATGGCAAAATTAACTTGTTTGGTTAGAAGAAAAAAAATGAGAAAAACTTCTTTGAAAAACTATAAGCCTGATAGGGAATGAGCAAAAAATGATAATGATGATTTATGATTCAGGTGACTAGAAAAGATGCAGATTAAGGAAGGGATGGATGTGAT